CTGAGTTGCAGAGTGGTAGTGAAAAGACAACAAACACGAGATCAGGACCAAGTAACAAATGTGTTATTAAAGGGTCCTGGAAGAGCAACAGTCAAAAATTACTTTAGAGCTTCTAACTCGGAAGATTTCGTGGTCTAACTCTGGTAGAAAAATGGTCCCACTGAGCCAGGCAGGACGGTCAGGAGGAGCAGAGGCAGGGTTGTATTTAAATCGATGCCCACATGGAGGCATCTGCAGGGGATACGATGGGGTGATGAACATGCTCACTGTCAGTGAGGGGTACTCGGATTCATTGACAGAGTGGCCATCTGAAGTCATGGGGAAAGTGGGGCTGTGCAGAGGGGTGAGAAGGAGGACTTTGATGAGTCCCAAACTCAAAACGAAAGTGAAGCCAAGAAAACTTATCTAAGAAGGGGAAGACTGAGGGAAGACAAAACTGCCTGCCCCAGAATTCTTGAAAAACAGGAGGAGAGACTTGGAAAGAGGGCCAATGAAGATCAAATGTTGATGAGAGGACAGGAAACATTCCAGAGATGATGACAAATGACAATAGAGAGATTTAAAGAGAAAAAAGAGAGAAAAAGAAAGTATCACAGGTTTAAAAAAAAAAAAAAGAGAGAGAGAGGGAGAACTAACCAACCAGAGCAAGAGATGGAGAACACACTAACCCTCTTACCTAGAGGTAAGGTGGAAGTCCCAGCAGCCTCCCACCATCCCTGCCAGGAACACAGGTTCAGAAACCCAGGCAGTGCAGGCATGTTCTCCTGCCTGGGGTCTTGCTGCATTCCAATCTTTAAGGGTGGAGAAAAGGAATGCAGCACCATCCCCAATACCCTATAGACTTAGAGAGCTCTGACATGCTCCTGAAGAAATCGGGACCACACAGGCACTGGGCCATACATGTACTTTGCTCGCCCATGTGGAATATGAAGTTCATGGTACACCTATGCAATTCCTGGACTCTAAAAACATACCGCCTAAAGCTATATGTAAGCATGAATTCACAGACTGAACTTTCTAGAATTGCTTTGCCATCATTGATCATGAATTTTTTTTTTTTTTACTTTCTCTAGATTTCATTTCATTTCACTGTCAACAAATTCTTTAACCCTGACTAAGCCATGAGCCTCCTACATGCTGATGAGGTAGCCAGGTTTTGAAGATTAAGAAGACCATATGATAGGTTACTATATAAACCATCAGTATGTAAACATAAAAGCATCATTACTAGTAGCAAATCCTGCAAAGAGCTGTCCTCACACAAATGCTGTATGATTCCATCCACACAAGGTCCCTAGAGTAGTAACTTCAGAGAGACAAGAAGCAGAACAAAAGTTGCCAGGAATTGGGGTGAAGGAAGTAGAGTTTTGTTTCATGGGTGCAGCTTCAATTCTGTAAGAGGGAACCTCCGGAGGTGGACGGTGGTGATGGTGGCCCAACAGCATGGACATACTTGATGCCACTGAATACACACTTGAAAAAGGTTAGTTAACATGGAGAAGTTTTACATCATGTATACTTTACTACAATTATTTAAAATTAAAATAATGGTGTTTTTTTTTTTCAATAAAATCTCTCTGTTGTGGAACTATGGATAAAAAGCTGACCTGGTCAAAGGTCTTGTTGATCTACTGCATTAATCCCTGGAAATGCAGGCTGCAATTCCACTGGGTCTGTTTGAGGTGTAAAATGAAGTTGTGCTTGTGTACACACAGGCAGAGCATCCCTAATCTGAAACCTTGAGATCAGAAACTGTGTGAGCATGGTCATGACACCGTAAGTAGAAAATTCCACATCAGGAATCTCTATTTTTTGCACAAAATTATTTAAAAGAACATATAAAATTACCTTCAGGCTATGTGTACAAGAAAGATAAATGAATTTCATGTTTAGATTTGAGTCCTATCCCTAAGATATCTCATAATGTACATGCAAATATTTAAAAAAAATTTAAAAACCCTAAGTCTGAAACACCTCTGGTCCCAGGCATAAGTGTTACATTCTATCTGTGTTTAGTTACCTGTCTGGGAAAGTGAAGCTCATGAGAGAAGCTAAAGAAGGCAACACCATGATGGGAACCCTCCTGATGGAAGAGCCAGAGCCTGTAGCATGAGGGAAACATTCGTGTCATGTCTGAGACATTCGTCCCATGAGAGAACAACCTGGAACAAATCCGAAGTTACTTGGTTGAGAGAAGACAGAGGCTCAGGTGTGGGAGCCAGCATGCACCGCTGCAATATCCCTGACCCACGTTACACAATCACGTCCTGACTGTAGACATGAGTATCTGACTGTAGACATGAGTATCTGACTGTAGACATGAGTATCTACAGCGGAAGGCAAAAATAAGAGAACCTCCACCTCGTCCCCAAACACTAACCCCCAGCATCACACACTGCCCTTCCTATGCGTGCTTTGTCAGAGCTTAGAGTTCCTCCATGTGGACCTAAATAATACGACTTTAATCTCAGATCCTTTATTCATTGCTTCCTTTACAACAACAGACCCTTTATAGATACCTATGAATGAATGAACTTCCAGAATAGTCAAATATGAATGAGAAATGATCATTTTAATTACCTAAAGTGTTAAGCCATGTGTTGAAAAGATTTCAGTTTAATGCATAAAAATAATGAATAAAATTGTTAAAAGTACATTTTAAGTTTCAAGTGTCAAATAAATGGTCAATTATCAGAAAAATAATCATTGTATAAAATAATTTAATAGCAACAAAATGACCATAAGGAATTCCTATCATTTTAGCCCCAGAATTGTTATTTTATATAAATATATATATATACATATATATATATATACACACACACACACATACACATATATACACACATACATATATATAAATTATATACAATTTTATTATTTATATGTACCTATAAAATAATAATAAATAAATATACACATAAAATAACAAGAAATAACCACCATAAAAACCAAATTCTCAATAAAGGCGAAAAACAAAATAGAACCCAAAACGAAACTCAAGCGAAGCCAAGCAGACAGACTGGAATTTTACCTTATCTGTGCATGTTTTTTAAGTGATGAGACAGATGTAAGATTTTGACCAATAATTCCTGATGACATTCAATAAGCAATACCATAATATTCAACAGATTGTTCAAAAGCACTTTTTAAAAATATGAGTTAAGTTCTGAAACATGAATCATCTGTTTTCTGATCTGTTTCCTAATGTTAACTCATTTTCATTACTGCACAAAGTACTCCAGAGAGTAAGAAGAACTGACATGAGCTGACTTCCTTTTTTTTTTTTTGCTATAAACCAGAACTTTATATTCAAAAAGGAGAAATACTATCAAAAAATATTAAACACATACTCTACATTGCCCAGCACTCTTTTTAAGAAGTGGGAAGCTCTATGATCCTAGCGGATGAAGCAACTGAGAAAGTATCAAGAGCAGCAGACATGAACCCCAGGCACATCTTAATGGCTTTGCTAGTTTCTCCGTTTATAAAAATCAGGACACTCTCAGTGCTGTTTGTGTTAGGTAATTAACAGCTGTAATGCACACTGAAAGTAGAAACTGCTAAATAAATAAAGACTGCCAAAGAATTTGAACCATAATGTGCTAAGTAATAATGATGAAACATAGGCTTCTAACTTCATCGTTTTTGTTTTCAAATTAATAATGCAAATAAGACTGATCTTATTACCATGGCTCAGCACAGTGCTAGAGAGCAAGTTAGCTTTAGTGATAGAAATCACAGAAGGGATCTTGTGTCTCCAACAGCACATGACTTAACTCCTCGGGCAGCAATGAAGACATTCACGTTCTGTTCCAGTAGCTACAGAAATACCACTATTTTGCCTGTGTCTATATTTTTGTTCATTCCAAACAGAAGCTGCTCTACTTGAAAAATCCACTAAGCAATAAATGTTTTGAGAATTACCATTTATTTCACATTGATTGTGAAACCCTAAACCACATCAGTGCTTTAAACTATGTTCTGGGAATTAACAACACAATCACATCTAAAATGACCATTCTCTACATTTTCCAATCTACTACAATATTTATGAGGTTGCAGGAGCATCTAAGTTTTCATGCATTTTTAGACTTGCTTACTAAAGAAATAAAGATGAGAAGAGATCAGGACCCATTTCTAGACCTTCCCTCCAAACTTCACGCTCCACTGGTGGTATCAGCACTTACAAGAGTTAAACTATGCCTATACAGGAAAGCTAAATATTTTACTACTCATTAGCTGTTCTTATCTTTTGCATATATATATTTGAAATAACTACTGAGTTTCATGAAATTAAATTAAAAAGACCTCAAAATTACAGAAATCAATGAAAGATGGGAAAACCTTAGAATATACATCTTGAAAACAAGGTCTTCTGCCTGAATCTAAAATCTGTTTAAGGTTCAATTCACAAAAAAAAAAAAAAAGAAAAAAGAAAAAATTGTTCTGTGAATTTTATGAACACTTGTAAATAAACTGTAGCTATAAAGAACAATTTCAACATCACTGAAGAAATAAGAATAAATCTTGTTTATTATCTATTTAGGGAGAAAGTCATCCCCCAATAATATTTTGAGAAAAAAATTAAACGTCCACAGAAGAAACTAAAGTAAAGGGTATTATTCACATTAAAATGCAAACATATAATTTTATTCTCATAATAACCAAGACCTCAAATACCATTTTTAGTGACTCATATTAATTTAATTGTGACATTAGCTTTTATAATCACAGATGTAAAAAGACCACTGTGTTCCAAACATAATTATCTCACCAGCATCTCATTTCACAAAATTATTAGTTAAGATGAGTGCCTCCGAGAGAATTTATATTTGATTTGTTTCACTTATTTAAGAACACTGAATAATTTAAGATCTGTTTAAATACAGGGGAAGCCACACGCCACCCCTTCACCCCCCTCCCTGAGAGTGAATGTCTGCACCCTGCCGTCTCCAGACAGGCCCCAGCTCTGCTGAATGCACACCAACTGGGCCTACCTTCCAGATGAAGCCACATCAACCGCCCCTTCACGCTGACCACAGAGGCCACACAGAGTTCTCCTGGATTCCGGGGGTTCACGGCTTCCAGTTTCATGTTCTTTGTGAAACCCCGACTGAAGGATGTCTGAAAGAGAAACAGAACTGGCACTGAGACCAGAGCTACCCCAGCAGAATAAAGGCAGAGCACGTCGGGTGAAGATAGACTTGCGCCCTCGTCTCATCCCAGGACAGGAGGAGGGCTGGTCTGCATATTCACTGTTCCCCCCATTTGTGAAGAAAGAACAATGCACGTTTCGTTTTGGCAATCCAAAAACTAGAACTCTGCTTGGCAAACAGTGGGCGCCTGATAAATGAATCAGGATATGAATACAGTCTTTCCAGTTCTGCACATGCCCTTACTTCCACAGGATTACAGATACACACATCATTTCTTCCGCTTTCCTATATTCCTTGCTAAAAATTGTAACTAGGCATATTTGAGGGTGTTGAAGTGGGCACATGGAGTATCCATCTGGCCTTGTTTTTTTTGAAGACTGCCCTTTAGCATGTCTTAAAGTACAGTGGTGATGGATCCACACCCCACCCACCGTTGGTTTTTTAAATCTGAACTCTCTTTTATTTTCCTTCTGTTTATTCATATTTGCTTCCTAAGTTAACTTTTGAAATTTTACCTATGGTAAAATTCACTCTTTGGGGTGTGCTGTTCCCTGAAGTTAGGACTGTTAGACTAACACACAGGCACATGTCTATAGCCACAATCAAAGGACAGAAAGAACAGTTCCTTCAACCCTCAAACTCCCTTGCGCTGGCCCTTTGATAATCAGTCCCTCCTCAATGCTGGATTCCTAGCAAACACCAAACTCTTTTTAAAAATTCCTATCAATTTGTCTTTTTATCTTACAGTGTCATATTAATGGAACCACACTGTGTGGAGGCTTTAGAACCTGGCTCCTTAGTAAGTAAACTGCATTTGAGATCCACCCATGTCACTGCATGAGTCAATAGTCTGCTCCATTTTATGTCTGAGTAGTTTACACAGACGTACCACAGTTCAGCCATTTGCCAGTTAAGGCACACTGGAGGGCTTTCCAATATTCAGTGAATGTGAACAAAGTTGCTATAAACATTCGGGTACAAGATTTTGTGGAAAAGGAAGTACACTAAGCTGCTCTGGTTACCATAACAAAACACCAGAGACTGGGTGGTTTAAACCACAGAGAATTATTTCTTCATGGTCCTGGAGATTGGAGGTCTTCTGCTTGTGGGTGCAGGTCTTCTCCCTGTGTCCTCATGGGGTCTTCCCTTTCTGTAGGTCTGTCTTCCAACTTCTCTTCTTATAAGAACACCAAGTCATACTGGATTAGGGCTCAGCCATATGACTTCATTTACACTGATTATTTCTTTGAAGATCCTTCCTCCACATTATGAGACACCCAAGGGTAAAAAATAATGAATTGTGGGAGGATGCAATTAAACTATTAACATTAATTTTTCAATTCTCCAGAAATCAGATTGTGGACCACATGGTAGATGAATGTTTAACTGTCTAAGGCACTGTCAAATTGTCTTCCAAAGTGGCCATGCTATTTTATATTCCCCCAGCACCGTACTGCTACAAATACTCATTGGCACTTGGTGTTGCTGGCTTTTCACAATTTAGCCATTCTACGGGATCTAGTGGCACCTCACTGTGGTTTTATACTTGGTTTATCCTATTGAGCAATGACACTGGGCATTTTTCCCCCCCATTTCTTTGTCTTCTAGATAGCTTCTTATGTGATGTGCTGCTTTTTCTTATTCCACTGAATTTCCAATTGTACATGGTCTTATTCCTCACACATCTGATATTACACTTGTCATTTTTTCTCCTTGACAATCTTTTTCTCTCTCTACTCTTTAGATGATTTCTACATTCAAGGTCATGGATTCTTTCCTTTATTATCTCCATTCTGCTATTAATTTCGTTTATTGCAGGTACTGTGTTTCTCAATTATAGAATTTCTCTCTCTGCAACAGTAAGGATTGAAATCAGGGTCACTCTACACTGAGTTAAATTCCCGGGCCATTTTTTTTTTCTTATTTTGACACAGTGTCTCACTAAGTTGCTTAGGCTGACCTCAAATATGCAATCCTTCTGCCTCCGCCTCACAAGTCACTGGGATTACAGGTGTGTACCACCACACCTGGTTCAAAATTTCTCTTTTTTGTATTTTCTACTTTTTCTTTAGAAATTCTTATCTTTTTATTCATAATGAGGATATTTTCCTTTACATGTATGGTTCTCAAACTTTAAGGTATATCACACAATCATGTTGACAGCTTTTGAAAAAGCAGACTTCTGGGCCTTCCCCAGTTTCTGATGCAGTTGATTAGAGGTGGAGGTAAAGAATTTGTATTTCCAACAAATATTCAGGTGACCCTGCAGCTACCGGTATAGGGACCACATTGAGAACCATGTTCCACATCACTGAGCTTAAATAGTCACAGGAAGGGTTTTCAATATTTGTTTGCTACTTTCAACATCTGGATCATGCTAGGTTTGGTCTATATATCTTTCCTATTGGAAATGAATCAATTTTCCAGTTTTTCCCTGTCTTGAGCAACTTTGGATTGAAACTTGTACATTATAAACATTATGGTATGGAGACAGTGGATTGTGTTACATTCTCACCAAGGATGCCAATTTTTCAAAGTCCATCTTGAGAAGCAGAAAGCTCTCAGTCCTGTTCTTTTGTCCTCATCTAGACTAGCAGGGTCTGAGGGATGATACCACGTGTAATTGTCCTCATCCTGGCACAGACATGATTCAACCAAAGAGAACAGGGGCACCACATACAGGATCCATGCTTTCCCCTCTTGATGCTCCCCATGGGAAACTCCCTTCAACTTCCAATACCTGTGATCACCCAAATTCAACAATATGCTTCACCAGTGCAGAAGACTGTGAGGTCTGCATCCCTTTGTAGCTATTCCGCACCTTGCCAACTCTGGCTGTTCTCAGAATGGGACAAATGACCACACTGCTGCTTCCTTCTGACCACTCCCCCTGACTACAATGGCCTATTCTGATTTGTCCTCCACTGCCCCCATATGGGGTTTTCAGTACAGTGTCCACTTGCTACCTACAGGAGGGTCAATTCAGTATGAGCGGACTCAGCCAATACCGGAAGCAAAACTCCCTCCTAACATTATTTTTAAGTAAATATGAAAAATTTCCCCAATCATTAGCTACTATAAATTCTAATAGGACTGGAGTTGTGGCTCAGTAGTAGAGCCTGGCGTGTGTGAGACACTGGGTTTGGGTCTCAGCACCACACATAAATAAAGGTCCACTGACAACTAAAAAAAAATATTTAAAACAATTATAGATGGGCAGAGTGGCGCATGTCTATAATCCCAGTGGCTCAGGAGGCTGAGACAGGAGGACGGCGAGTTCAAAGCCAGCCTTAGCAATTTAGGAAGGCCCTAAGCAATGCAGTGAGAACCTTACTCTAAATAAAATACAAAATAGGGCTGGGGTGTGGCTCAATGGTCAAGTGCCCCTAAATTCAATCCCCAGCCCAGTACTCCCCCCAAAAGATAAATTATAATGGGACATGTAATACTCTCTAAAACAGATCTAGTTTGAAGTATATAAACTAAGGTAAACAGGTTCCTATTAAGCCACAGAGACTACATATTTCTGTGACTCATGGAAAGGAATCAAAGTAATTCATATTTACTGCCCTTCATAAAACTTCAGTTGAAAAATGAAATTATATCTTTATATAATCTGAAGAGAAGTAGCTATTGTTATGTTAAAAAATCAATTTGTCCCTTTCCAGAGATATTCTCGGTGGGCTATTTTTTTCTGCAAGTCATCCTGTCTCATCCACACATGTTATGTATTGAGCTTCTTTCTGATAACACAACTCGAGAGCTGCCTGAAAAACCTCTAAGTAAGTTAAAATGCATTTTATTCTACTTAATAAGGGAAAGCTACAACCATGCAACCAATTTTCACTTCAATTCGTTGCTTGAGGGTAATTTAAAGGATCAATAGCAAAACTGTTACCTATGAGTTTATTTTACTAAGCATTTGGCTGTGTCGATCCATTTCCTAACTGCCTCTGATTGTTAAACATCCTGGGGGAAATGTCTTCCATGCATCCAATTCCACACCGGCTCCCTTCTAGCACACATGAGATGTGTGATTAAAAAATGAATTCATAATAAGCATTCCATTAAGGAGCACGTGGAGCAAGCTAACAAATTCAGCAAAGTACCAGTAATGCAATGCATATGCCAACAGGCAGACAACAATTCTGTCTGTTAAATAAACGGAGAGCCAGAAACAAAGGCATTCCTAATGAACATGGCAGCAAATTCATTACAGCAGATTTAATATTGGTAGCTAGATCCTGGATCAGCTCAGAAGTCAACTGGTGATGTGGCTACTTGTTCCACCATTAGAAGCCACTTGGAGGACTCCAGGCTGAATGAGAGCAAAGGACAGACAAAGAGAAGCTTTGGTGGAGCACCGCTGTCACAGTGGAGGTACTCCCTAACCACAGAAACAGGGGCGATGTTTTTGCTTCCCAAAGAGAAGAAATGGGGAAGGAATATTTCTCTTGTGAGGTAGAAAGCACAATCTCAAACAGGCGTGAGAGTGATACAGGGAGTGTCCACGGTCCTAAATGAAAGGTAGTCAGGCCAGTGGATTCTGAGATAGTGACAGCAGCATGGGGAAAAGTTAGGCAAGGCGACACTTGACCTAGGAAGCCTTTGGGGCTCCTCAGCTGCAATCCTCATGGGCATGGCCACACAGCTGTCCCCAATGACCACCTGACCACATACCACACAGTCCTTGACTGCTACAGAGAAACCATTTATGTATGAAGGCAATGATAGCCAGCGGAGAGGCCAGTTAGTCATTTAAGGGGCCCTGATTTCCAGTTCCCACCTCTACCACTGAGCTGCTTTGTTTGTACTTATGAGTACAAGTTGACCCAGCCATCGACCCACTTAATTTTTCAAAATCTGCATTTGACATATGCTCAGTTTTGAACTTCTTTTAAGCCAACACTCTCCCCTCTCACTTTTCCTGTTCTGTGATCCCTGGAGCACAAATCACCATGGGGGAGGCAACGAGTCAGCAGCACCTTCAGAAACAAGTTTCTCCTTCACACTGCTGTGTCTATAGGTTCCAAGCAAGAGAACTGTATGTATTGTTCTCGGCCTAAGAGATTAACATTCATCACTAACACTATGTTACACACACCAGGCTATCTATTTACACTTCATTCTTAAAGTAGATAATATTCCATACTCCTTCTTGTCATAGTTCCTAAGGTTGATGAAGCTTAAATGAATAATTTTATAGATTATTTTACGAGAACCACCTCTTATGACTTATTGCTACTTTATGTGTCATATAAATCCTATTATCATGCCAATAAGCTCTCTTTGAATAAGTAGTTTAAAGTAAGCAGAGCACAAAACTATTTAACTTGAATCTTACTAGCAATCAGAATATTTCATAAAGCAATCAAGGGGGAAAAAAACACTATTTTTAATAAGCCTTAAGAGCAAAAAAGTCCTTTATCAATGAGCTGGTCAATATTACAATACATGGCAAGTGTACATCTAATGTTGGCACAGATGGTAGCTGTCCAGTATCTGTCCTCCTCCTTCCACAGCATGGAATGGCAGCTGGGAAAAGAAACACAGGACCCATTTCTTGACTTCACTTACAGCAGTCCAGAGAATTCTCACCAACAGAAGGTGGAGAAGAATTTTTCAGCACCAGGCTACTGTGCTTGGAACCAGGACCTTAGCTCCTAGCCTTTTTCCTACCTGCTTGCAATCAGGTGACCAATGGAGCCCAAGACTCCACTAATCAGGAACACCCTGGACTCCTCCTTAAGCAAGAAATGGACTTTTCATGTGTTTAAGACACTGTGCATTTATGTGTCAATTTGTTACAAACCCAGCATTATCCTAACAAATACACAACCTGAAAGAAAGATTACTTTTCAAAAACAAAGTTTCCTGATGCTTCATTCCATGTGTGGTACTCCAAAATGGTCCATCAATAGAAAGCAAATCTTAAAACTTACTGTGAACAATATCTATGATTTTAAAAAGTAGCTAAGACGAAAGTTTCTTACGTTTCTAAAGCAGAAGGGAGGTGCTTCTTCCGCCCCGTGCTGCTTATGATAATCCGCCCAGTCAAAATCCTGGCCGGAGTAACCTGTGAATGATGAAACACAGAGAGCCAATGTTAGCTGAGCCAAATCCCAGGCGAATGCTGAACCTTAGCATGGGTCAGTGGTTAAAATCATAAGAGGAGCAAGTCTAAGTCCTGAAGGATGCGTCCTCAAGCCTCACAGCATCAGATTTCATGAGGCTCAAATGAAATATTTTGGAAAATGCAAAACATCTAATATAGGCAAGGAGTGCCATCATCACAATGCAGGACCTGAAACCAGCTGAAGAAGGGGGAACTTACCTGCTGCCGTACGGGATACCTGCTGGCAGGTACAGAACAGCAGAGAGAAGGAATGTCACAGAACATTCTTACGATCCATTTTGCAGAAACAGACAAAGACACCTCCCCCTTCTATAAATGCCAAGACCACAGCAACTTTACTTTCAGTATCTTCAAAGAAATAATGAGCATTTATTGGGGAAAAATACAGTTGGGAGATGGTTCTTAGAAGAATAAATGAAGAAAGAGCAGAAGACAAACAAGGAGTCAAAACCCTCAAAGACAAAGGAAGAGGAAGAATATAAACCATGCCGTGGAACTGAACTGCAAGGACGAAGGAAAGAGAGAATTGGGAAAGATGGGCCTCTCTGGCTTGAAGCTTTGGGGAGAAATTGGAGATTCTAAGGAAAGGGTTTGAGAAATGACTATTCACATGCACTAAATTTAATTAAATGCAGTGTGATTTTTCTTTCTTTTACTGACTTCATTTCTGGAGGAGAGGAGATTGCAATTACACAGTATAAATCCATCACGGCAACCACAGGAGGAGGAGATGAGGGAAAACAGCACTGGCTCATAAATGAGAAAGACACAGAGAGGAAAAGCCTCCAAGTCAAGCCAATGAGCCAATGCCAAGGAAAAGGGGTGAGGTGCTTAAACTTCTCCAGTTAACAATGGACGGAGGTGGGAAGTACAGACCAACAGTGGTTAAACTACAATGTGAGCAATGTCACTGTCACACACTTGGTTCGGTGTGCTTTCTTTATTAGTTGAAGTATGTGCAAGATAAATCCATTAGGGACTTCTGAAGTATACTTTTGACACTAGTCCCCCAATTTCTCGTATACATAGTGTCATAAACTCCACTACTGTAGATTCACTTCATGTTGGGACTTTAAGTTACTAAATCCCCACAGATGCAGAGATTCATTAATTACAGAAATTATTAAAGGAACTCAAGATATGGATGCCAAAACAAAAAAGATATGCTCCCAAAACAAAAGTGTTATTTTCGTTAGCTAAGTTCAATTTACTGCCCACCCCCGACCTGGGATTGCAGGAAGAGCTATTAACCAAGAAAATAGCTCTCCTCTGGTTCCAAAGACTGACCTCTGACCCACCCATGCCCCACTGACCAGCAGTGGCAGGGATGTCCTCCTTTTTCTTAAGACATCTATTTCATTCTGCAAAGACTGACAACTCATTTCTTTCAACAAAGTGTCACGATACTTCCAAATACTATATTCTCTTTTCAGGTAATTTCAAAGTGGTTCCTGAAGCTCTTCTGCCTGTCTTTCCACTAACCTTTCTCTTCAGGGCTATCCCTCCTGCTAAATGGCTCTTGCATCAGAGGTTTCTGGAAGGACAAAACTAAGGTACTTCAAATATTTTCACACAAAACAAAGAATACCTTAAATAAGGTAATGGAATTTGAGTTTGTTTTACAATTGATAGAACACTGCACTGTGAGCACAGTTTGGAATTGTTTTGGAGCCAATCTGCATGTTCATGTATTAGAGTACAAGGGACCGTGAGCCTCAAGACACTTGGTATGGTCACAAGTTTCTTGACAGCACAGAAGGCACTGAACCAGAAAAGAGGAGGGCTAGTTTTAGCTTCAGCTCTGTGGGTCACTGGGTGGACCACGGTGAAAATAAACACATGCCTGACTTTCTGCATCTATGAGGCCACAAAATAAAGAGCAAAGCTTCAAGGCTCCCTCTGGCTGACATACTCTATGACTCAGAGCTGCCATTTCTAATGATTTTACTCTTACTACTTAGGATTTTCTTTCCATCTCTTTGTGATTAATTTTCTTTTCTTCTACTAGGAGAAGAGTGTAATAGGATTAGAAACATCCCAACTCAATCCATGAAGACCAGGTGAATGCCCACAACACCAGGATCCCATCTGCCTGGCAGGCTGGCTTTGTAAGGGTCAAGACCTCCTTCTGTGTCTCCTCACTGGACCTCTGTTCCTTCCTTAGTTAATTTTGTGAGCTTATGAGATCATGGGTGCTAAACAGATACAAAGTAAAACATTTTCTGATATTGATACAACACCGCATTTGGATATTCTATACAATAAATATCTATTCAGATAAAACTTTCCAACTTTCTGTCATTCTATTTCTTAAATATGGACATTTAGCGGGGTTTTCTACAACCAGCTTCTAATGGATTTCAACCCACTCCACAAAATGTCATGTTCCATGTTTGCCTGGGTCTACATTCAACCCTGCATATGCCCAGGCCCCCACAGTGACTGTGGGGAGCCATTTTTAATCAAATAATTTCTAGATATAATCAAGTCTTGCTGGGTACAGTTTAAGCAATAATTAGTGATTCTGCCCCCGAAACTCACTATTTTTCTTGAACATTGGAAAGGCTTAGACTTTTCCTCCTCCTCCTCCTCCTCCTCCTCCTCTTAGGGACATTTATTCACTTCATCACTTAAAATTCTTTTCCTTTGAGCTGATAATGAGCTCTCTTTGTAAGGCATTTTTTGTGACAGCTCAGAAAATAACTGCTACATAAAAACAAATTGCTGTGGATCGTATAATAGAGACAACAGGGGTCAATTATGCTCATTAATCAACAAAGACAGAACAAGAAGTACTGGGGCTTAACTATAGCCAGGAAAACATGTTTTAAACCTGGAGGGAGGGAGGAAAATAGCAGAGGGGAGAAGAAAATAAAAGGAAATATACCCCCTTAGGCTATTAAAATTTGCAACAAGCTGCCAGGGGAGACTGTTGAACCACAACCATTAGAGTTATTTTAGCCTTTATCAGTGTTTATTCTAAATGAAGTTCCAACTGTTCCAGGTCCAAAAGGGATAAGGCAGATGACCCATTTTCACATGATATAAATGAATGGTCATAAACCAGCTCCACTTACAAACATTACCATCGACTGTGCAAATGGACAATTCTTTTGAAAAACTATTTGATAACATCAGTAAAAATATCCAAGCCCTTTGACTGAACAAATTCACTTCTGAGAATTTATCCCATAAACGGGACCCTAAAACCTGAGAAAGGGTGATACATTAAGATACTTATGGGATTATGCAATGACTTTCCATTCAACAACAAGAAATGATGTGAAACTTATCCAAATGCACAGGATGTCACGCAGGCATGAAATTTCAAAGAATATATTGAAAAAAAATATTTAATGAAAAAATAGTTGTTATGCGTTAGATGTGAACACTGCTGCAAGCTTACATTGAATTATTATATTTATATAAAAATATGCTGAGGAAAAGACAAGTAAAAGTGTTGAGAAAAACTTTAAAAAAATAAATATCAAAAATAATTGTTTTAGGGCTGGGGATATAGCTCAGTTGGTAGAGTGCCTACCTTGTGTGCATAAGGCCCTGGGTTCAATCTCCAACACCACACACACACACCAAAAAAAATTGTTTTGGACTCTTGTTTACTTTTTTCTGTAACCTTTTTGTATTTTCCAAGTTTGCAATAATGATTATGAAATTATTTCAGTAAAAAAAGTCAGATGAAAACATTGCATCTTTGCTCACTTTCAGCAGATAATCAGGACACAGGTCAATCAGTGGAAGGGTCTATTCAGCTTGTGAAAGACCCCAGGACTGCCTTTCCACCGCCATCAGTCTTTGGATTTGCTAACAGGTTTTTCTCTGGCATTGGTCAGGCCCCTCCTTGGCACCTGGAAGTGAATTTTGGCTATCCAGAGACCATCACGGTGGCCTCATGCCCCTGGCCTGTGGCTTGGGATAGGAGTTTGGAAAAAGTTTATGGAAAGATTTCTTTCTCTAATAAAGGAGACATACGGGACTAAAATTCTTGTACCAGGTGGCTATAAAAGTAAAATGTGCAATTGTAATAGAAAATAGGAAAAGAATATCATTTTTGCCAACTACTGGTTTTGCAAAATGAAAAACATTAATAAGACATCACTGGAGGTTGCTGGGAAAGAGGCCTCTGTAAGCATTTCTTCTTGGAGAACAACTCAAAACACGAAGACAGGTGTCAATTTCATTAGGTGTCATGGGTCAGAATCTTCAAGAATATGCCCACCTCCAGCTTACACAGCTGCTCCCTCACATGGTCCTTTATTCAAATCTATGGACCTGGCACATGCTATGTGCAAGGCAAGTGTTAATACTTGGGATACAGAAGTGAACAAAATGGCAAAACCCCTCCCCTAGCAGGGCTCACCTGCAGTGAGGGGAGACACAACAAGCTTCAGTTTAAAAATCCAGATGCTCCCAAATAGTAAGAGACTAAGTGCAGAAAGCACACGGAGATGGCCGCTCCTGTTACAGAGCAGTCAAGGAGGCTCCCTGATAAGGTGAATGGTGGCACGGGTGTCCTGGGGCGGAGGAAGGAGGCATGCAGCTCTTTGGGGAAGAGGGGATACCAGACCCCAGATTTACTGAGCGCAAAAGCCCAGGAGCAAGTCTGGAGTGTTCATGGATCAGCAAGAAAGATGGGGAGGCTGAAGCAGAGGGAGGAGGTGAGAACAGCCATCCTATGCTGGGGTCAAAGGGGACAACTGTGCAAGAGTTTTGTATATAAAGACAACAACTATAAACAAGAGCAACAGGGAAGTGTTTGAATGATTCACCTACAGATTTTGGGATGCACCATATTTAAAGTCATCAATATTTTGGCATGACACAGCTTAACCAATGACAAAAGCAAAGTGTGAACACATAAGTTAATGTATGATGTGTAAAATAATGAAGTAGGTATACAAAGTTGTATACCCAAGGAAACA